AATTTACAGAAAAATGAAAAATATTATCTACAATTTTTTTTATTGAATCGGACTCAGAATCGATAGTTGAGTTACCTCCTAGAAAATGACGCGGCTTTAAAATAACACCTTGTATACAACATAAACAAGATACATTTCGTTTTCGCCAAGCCTGTTTTTCTTTAGTCCTGTCATTTTACCTCTATAGACGCAAATGCCCTACAATATGTAGGGTTTTATGACAAGTTCTAAGTTGTCAAAATAAAGATTTGGGACATGTTTTTAGTCGACTATCTCACATTCCGAGCTGAAATCCTTATTTTCCCAGGTTCTAGGTGAATTGAGTTGAGCTTCGTTGAATTCTCATTCTTAATATGTTTTTAAATACTCTCGAGAAGGTAACTGAAGTGGGTCTAGCTACTTGCGAAATGGAACAAATATTGTTATTTATATTTCTCTGTGTATTGTTCCAAGACTTTTTGTGGGGTTTGGTTGTGTTTGAAGTTTTTACTTTATACGACATCGCTACAGTCCCAGAATAACCACGTGGCAAGGGGCCTTTTCTAACTTTTCATCTCTGTTTTGCTAACTTATACGGTATCCTTGAAGTTATGGACCAAATCGAGAAGGAACTCGGATCACTTTATTTTTTTTAATTGATGTTGAATTGTTGGCTCAATCTAAAATTAAGGACTACTGCTTAAGCTGCGGCTATTTGTAAAAGGGCCTTAGTTTGCTATAAAAATAATTGCGAAATTGTTCTAATCTTGATCATTGTTTTTTTTTTTATATTTCATAGGCCGACGTTTGGCCACTATCTCGCCTGATGGTAAGCGATTATGCGGCCTACGGTGAAGCACGTCTGCCTATAAGTGTCTGCCCATAACATATTCACTCGGGCCTTGAAGACACCCAGATTATAATAATTGCTGATTTTGACAAGGTCGATAATTTCCTCTTATTCCTAAATAATAGGCATCACAGACGCGTCACTATTGCAATAGTGCAGTGTCCTGCATTAAAAGAAATGGCAAATAATGGTTATCTTGATGGTTATAGTGACAAATGAATGACTGATTTACCCCTTAACTCCTAATCCGATCTATCGAATCTAAATTAAAAATATTATCTATCTTCTATACTTATAATAAATCTGTAGAGAGGTCAATTCTGTACATATAATATATTTAAAAAATAACTATCAAGGGGTGGTTAGGGATCGCTACTGATGCCAAAAATGCAATTAGTAAAATTTTTGTCTGTCTGTCTGTCTGTCTGTATGTTCGTTATGGAAACAAAAACTACTCGATGGATTTTAACGAAATTTGGCACAATTATTCTTCATACTCTTGGGCAGGTTATAGTATACTTTTCATTACGCTACGATCAAAAGGAGCAGAGCAGTGAAGGGAAATATTCGGAAAACGGGAGAAGTTACTCCATTTTTTAAGCTTCCGTCGCGTGTGCAGGCTTATAGGTTAAAGCTGCATAGAAATCATATATGACGGAAATATTCTCCTTAAAATTACATAAAAAATATTCCTCGACAGCATATGTCTATCTTTTATGGTTGACTCACAATAACACGTGAAACTCCCGATAGCTTAGCAATTCGGTGATTTCTGATTGTATTTGTCTACTCTAACGTTTACAATACTCATTCATAGACATTACGCTGTAACTGAAAGGCCAATGGTTGAAATTAGCTTGACTCGATTTTATAAATGAAAATATGTGAGTTTATGTGTATGTTTGTTACTCAGTCATATTAAAACCACTGAAGGGACCGAAATGAAATTCGGAACAGAGGTAGATTATGGTCTGAAGTGATACATAGGCATTTTACCCCTGAGATCGCGGGCGAAGCCGCTGGCAGAAGCTAGTTATTAAATAAATTGGCCCCAATCTCATTAATTAACTTTTTAATCTTGAGTTTTCTTAACTCATTGAGAAGATCATTGGTCGACAGATCATAGTCAAAGTCAAAGCATTCATTTCAATTAAACCATAATTTGGTTGGTTCTTTCGAAACGTCAACAACTACAAAATAAATAATAGTCTGTCAGTCAGTCCGTCAGTGAAGCTAGATGAAGCTAGGTGCTCATTCCAAAATGTAGATTCAGATTCAGTTGTTCGGCCGTTAGAAATGTAGGATTACGATCTTTTAACAATATGATGGGAACATGTTGAGGAGTTTTGTTAATATAGCGGACTAGGGCTTAAGAAGCAGGAGGGGAGGGTGTTCTGCGGAACAGGTTAAGGCTGGCACCATCCGTCTGGACGATTCAGGGTTGCGAACGGTTGTAGTGAGCTGCCCTGTCTCAGCCAATAAAATAAAGGAGGGTCAAAGGCTCCTGGCGGACTAGGACACGGCACAGGTTTAAGTGCTCGAGGTCCGACTTATGAGGTGTTACCGCTGCCACGTGGGCCACCTCGTGAGCGCTAGGTGCACCTCGGAGGTGTAATTCCGTCACAACCTCCTCCCAGGTTGTGATGTATAGTATAGTATTTTTCTATCCCAAGAGAAGTTCATAGAAAACTCTAAATTTTGACATGGCATTCTAAATACTATGACTGATATGACTAGCGAGAAATAACAATAATTATTCATTAATTATGATTGATACATGATAGTACCTACCCACATGGGAGCCAGGCTTGATGCTATGTATATAAAGGGTCCCTTCTCAAACATTATCTAAAAATAATGTAAATACTTTTACAGCCCTGAATTGTTGAATGATCGTTTCTATGAACACTATGCGAAGACATTGAACAAAGCCAAAATTTGATCATAACTTTTGAACCGCATCGAATCTTCAGATCTTCAGTTTTCAGACAAAATCAACAAATTACTCAAAGTTAAAATCAAAGCATTTATTTCAATTAAACCATAATTTGGTACTTTTGAAACGTCAACAAATACAAAATAAATAAAAGTCTGTTAGTCAGTCCGTCAGTGAAGCTAGGTCCTCATTCCAAAATGTAGATTCGAATGGAGAAGAACGAGCAAGAAACTCCATTCGTTACTCTTTTTTTTACTCGTTTGGTCCATACTTCCAATGGCTTTGTATAAGATAGGCGGCCTGTTAATAGAATTTTCAAAGGCCCCAAGTTTGGTTAATCCGTCACTGTATCTTTGTATTATGAACATCGTCACTTTTGTTATATTTTTGAGCAGGTTTCTGAGACTTTTATGTGGGATTATCGTTTTAGTAGAGAACTTATGTTGATAATGTAGGTTTTACACCTTCAATACATTCGTTATTTGAAGTTTCTTTATGGGTATTTATAAGTATAGTTTAATATATAAATGGGTATAATGGTTTATGGGTATAATGGTTTATGGGTATAGTGGGTATAGTAAACACCTACGTGTTTTCTGAAAATAGCAACCTCTTACATATTTTCTTTTTTAGATTTTGGGCTTGTCGTCAGAGACCATATCGCCCAGTGCCAGAAACAAATTATAATGAACTTCCTAATATCTGTCTTAACATTAAGTTGATGATGATAATGTTTATGATTTACCTAAATAGATACCTATATTTGATTGTAGACATAGCTAAAAACTGACTGCCTCGTTGGCCGAGTGGTCGCAAGTGCGACTGCCGGGCAAGGGATCTCGGGTTTGATTCCTGGGCCGGGCAAAATATTACTGGGTTTTTTTTATAAATTCTCAATAGTAGCACGGAGTCTGGAATTGTGCCCGGTATATGGCAATAGGCTCAGCCCTATTACATGGGACTTATAACATAAATAGTGAAAAGTGGGTGTTACATTGTACAGAAGCATTAATTGCCGTAGTGTGCACCTCTGCCTATCCCTTCGAGGATAAAAGGCGTGATGTTATGTTATCTAAAAACCTTTTAATATAGGTAGGTACATACACTACTAAAAACTCTTTAACTTTTACACTACTAAATACTCTTTAACTTAGATTTTTGTATATATCTTATAAATATTGAAATCTTGCCTATCAGTCCTATCACCCACCTGGACGTCAATTTCAGAAGACAGGGATACCCTGTATAACAAGTATAACTAAAAAAGTTACATCGGCCACTACATTTTGAGTAGGCCCACACCTACTGATAGTCTTCTTTTAGACCGCGTGGTTACAAGGGCAACTATCATACAAGGGGTCTCTGTTGATTACTAGATCTCATATTGATTTTTGAGTCTGATAATAAGTACTATGCATACATTGACAAAATAGTTTCATTGTACGAACATCAAAGGAGTTAAACGTTTTCCCAGAGTTTCGTGAAGTGTTCAACCTGGGTGTCTTCAAGTCTCGAGTGAATAGGTTGCTTATGTGCAGATGTGTTCCATGATACGCCAATCGTAGCTAACGATCAGGCGAGATAGCTGCCAAGTGACTACCCTTTACCAATAAAAAAAAATTAGCACAAGCCTTTGTTTCTCAGACATAGGCAGTAACTTGAACTACTTAAACAAAGTGCCACCTTGTATCATCCTTATATTATTATCCATATACATTACAATATGTATATTACTCTTTCACGCAAAAACGCCACTGTCTACCCCTTCAGTAGGAAAAATATAGTATAGTATTGTATTACCCCTGCCTTTGTACCAAAATCGATATTGAGAATATTAAGAAGGTCGCGATTTCGACACAAATGTATCTCAATAATTGTACTTTCAACATAAGTTTTACATAAATGTACCCCGTGACTTATACAGTTCAGTCTGCCCCTCCCGAAAAAAATAGTCATCATGTTACATACAAAGAATTCACTACATAGGCATATAATAAGCTAAACATTCGCCAATTGCCTCGCAATACCCTCTTGCCGCATACACCCCCCCATTTCACCCCCGATTATATCGACATTTCTCCCAGCCTCGCAGTATTTCAGCCTTTCAACTCTGCAGGGCCACACCCTGGTTCTGGGTCATTACCCCTGCGCAGATCACGCTTCCTATCTTACTTTACCCCCGATTGCCCCAACCCCCTTCCCACACACGCCCTGTGGTTGCTCCCGTGACGTGTACCCCTCTATTCCCCTCACTTCGCCCGGACGCTGCGGCATTGTACTTGCGCAGAACGCGCTTTCCTGCACCGCGCCCTTTCCCGGGCCCATCGTAGCACTGCGGCACTGCGTCAGTGCGCCGCCCACCTGCATCTAGTTAAGACGCGTCATCGTATTCCGAACGGAACCGGTTCCCTTTGTCATCTTAAGGACTGATTAAAACAGCCTATCAGTGCGGTCGCAGAATTAGTTCGGGTGATTCGGTCTGCATTATCTATCCTCGTGTGTTAGTGAAGTTAGAAGCAGCATGAATGCTGTGCGGCAGTATCTGGTATGAGGGTAAGTCCCACATTAAAAGTTGTATCTCAGCCCTTATATAGATGTCTTCGAGGAGAAGTGATAACGGATAAGCTCTGCAGTGTGGATATCGTCTTAGGACACGATCCATTTGTATACTTATTATTTCTTCTTGTCTATATATTGTGTCTTCGTATGTCTTTTTTCCATTGTGTAGACATCTACAAATCAATCTAATAATACGAACATTCGTATTTTTAGTTCTTTATAAAAGGCTCGAGGAGGGCATTGCCCTCTGTCTGGTACACCCCGCCCGTACCACCCCATCCCACCCTCTCGCCTCGTTAATATTACACTGGTTTAGGTTGTTCGAACGTTTCGGAATATCTTCTTGTTGGAGACTGATTTTATTTGGTTTTTAGGACGGTTTTAATTAAATCTTATCTAAAGACCGTACATGTTTAATGGTATATATATATAATGGTATAGTTATATATATATATATATATATATAAATTTAAAAGAATTTTCTTTGTACTCCTTATGGGTGAGGACCCGACCCGAACCCGGCTACATCCTAAAACTGACCAGGTACCGAAAAATGGGCAGTACCATTCTCTAAAATATACCGATGACCGCCTGCCAAGCATGGGGATTATGCCCCCCCCCCCTCCCCGCTCACTATGAACAATGACCAAAGCACACGGTCCCCAGTTCCCGGAAGCTCCGTTTCCTGATCTAGGTAGCGGAGCGGGTAATGGCGGAGCTGGGGGTGCTAAGAATACCCGGCAGATGAACTTGGTCCATCTTCGGATACATAACATCACGCCTTTTATCCTCGAAGGGGTAGGCAGAGGTGCACATTATGCTGCTGTACAATGTAACACCCACTTTTCACTATTTATGTTATGAGTCTCATGTAATAGGGGGTGAACCTATTGCCATATACCGGGCACGATTCCAGACTCCGTGCTACTACTGAGATTTTTTTTAAAAGCCTTGGAATTGAACCTGCCCTTGCCGGGCAGTCGTACTTGCGACCACTCGGCTAATCTTTCTTCGGATAGGAGACCAAGATCCAAGGTCCCTCATTACAACATTATAAGTGTCGTGGTGGCCCGAAGGTTTAAGACACCGTTTTTCATGCATGAGGGTGCGAGTTCGAAACCTACCAACAGCAAGTACCAATGTAACTTTTTCCGAGTTATATGTACTTTCTAAGATTATTCAGATATCACTGACAACCGGCGAAGGAAAACATCGTGAGGAAACCTGGGCTTATAATTTTTAATTATAAGTTTCAAATCGCCAACCCGCATTGAGCAAGCGTAATGTTCAATGCTCAAACCTTCTCCGTGTGAGAAGAAGCTTTGCTCAGCAGTGGGCGTTTATAGGCTGTTGATTATAATGGGGATCCCTCATTAACAACGATATTAAAGTTGACAGTATGTCGAGCAGGTAGTGGCGTACTTACTAAACCGATATTCGTGCCGACCTCGATATACTGCGACGATGTAGTTTTTTTTTTTTTTTTTTTTTTTAAGGGGGAAAATCATCGAATGACTGCTCCCGCCTGGGTGAGGCGGAAGGGAGTGTCAGACTCTTACTGACTAAAAACCACCCCGTTCATACTCTTGCACTTCCACCCGGAGGCCCGGTAACCCGTTAGGTTCTCCGCGACTCCGAATCGGCATCGGCCCTATTGGGCCCCATCTGTGGTGGTCTGATGGCTCTTTGAGGCGCGCGCGGAACGCGACGCGCCGTACGCTCGGGTCTGTTTCTGGTCGGACGGGGAGCCACCCATGCTCGCCGTCCGCAGGCCCGCGCTTACGGTGGCCGGAGATCGTCTCGCGATCCCCGACGCCCGGTGTGTCCTTCGCGATGGCTGGGTTGCGAGGAGGCAGCGCTTCGCTGCCTCACGCGTCCCGCCTCCTCCTTAGCTAGCATGCGACGATGTAGTAGAGACTCCTCCGAAGCATACTTCACCATTGTGATGGGGTAGTCCAAAGTAAAGGTGAACACACATAATGATGAAGCGATTCATTGAAAATGGGACCATAATTCTGCTATGGGTAGCGAAATCATCGAGTCCAGCGACTGGTTGACTTTATGGTAAGGAAGAGACTTCATTTAATGACTGTCTTCTACCAAAAGCGATCAGCCAGAAAAAAACACATGGATAAGCTCCTATTCTACCAAAATTGAGATCGACGTCATCATGGCGACCGAGAACCATGTGTTCAGTGATGTCTCTGTGATTGATATGGTAAAAATCGGCAGCGATCACCATATTGACAAAGGCACAGTGAATATCGATGCTAAGCTAGAGCAGTCACGTCTGGTGAAGTCCATACTTCGTCCTGGTAGTGCAACTGCAAAATCGCTTCCATTGCCTAGCCGTTTGTGAAAACGTGGACGAAATAAATATAAGTTAGTGGAAGGTGTTCAAGCAATGTAGTTAGAATAATTCTAAGTTCGAGAGGACTTGAAGAATAATTCATCAAGTCCCATCGAACTTAGCTCTCCGGAAACAAACCTCGCGGGAACTAACCTCGAAAGGTCCCCGACAGAACTTAATAACTTCTTAAGGACCGTACGAGATGGAGCTGTTATCTTCATCGGATCGGATCGGAGGATCCTCCTTTTCCGATCTTAGGGAACAATACTCTGTTCCCTAAAGCTTCATGACCACATTCTTACGCTGCGGAAAGTTATACAGAAGACCGAGGATGTATAACTTGCCTCCATGCTTGGCGTTTGTGGACTATAAGAAAGCCTTTGATTCAATCAAAACCTGGGCGGTGCCACATCGCCTATAGATACATGGAGATGTGGAAGTGTTTGTATAACAACGCCACTATGCGCATCCGACTCCAGGAAGAGACCACGAAGCCAATCCAGTTGCGGAAAGGAATATCTCCAAAACTGTTCATGAACGCATTGGAGGACGTGTTTGAGGTCTTGGACTGGTGCGAAACGAAGATGAGTGATGTATTTATCACTCTTCTTCGTTACAAAATAGGTCCGTAATTAACGAAAATATTCTTCTCGCGTGATTGTAAGTGCATCCATAGCTCCATGGGGTCTTAATTTCCATTACCAAGATTCATATTGCTACATTTGTAGGATTACAATTTTACTAATTTTCAGTAGCAGCACTAAGCCTGGGAGTGTATCCAAGTACTGTTTCTTGACTTAAGGTTAATAGACTCGTTGTTCTTCGACGTAAAGAGGATACTTTTGAACCGTTGTAATTTATCAATAAGTAAACACAGGTCTGTTCTATAAGTGTGGGTAGAACTTTTTAAAAGTTACATTCCCTATAAGACATTAGGTCATTCTTCAATTTGCCATTCAAAGTAATACCTCATGTTGTTAGTATTTTCGAGAGAATGAAAACATTTTAGATCACCCGTATTCCTAAGTGACAAGGCACAAAATAATATTTTAAACAGTCATGTGGTATGTGACTGCACTCAGGTCTGCGTCGAAAAGGGTCGAAAGTTTAGATACTACCACGGTCAGGAAATGTGGAATATCATATAGGCTACTTCTTATCACTATTACTTTGTCAAGCCGCTAGCAAAAGCTATTATCTCGGGCTTTGACATGACATAAACCTCTGCCTACCAATCCGGGAACAACGTCATGATGTTATGTATTGTATAATCCCTTGTTTCCCTTTCTATAGAAATCAGTACTGAGGCCATGACCTCGGCCTCGTTGGCCGAGTGGTCGCAATTGCGACTGCCGGGCAAGGGCTCTCGGGTTCGATTCCCGGGTTGAAAAAAGTATTACTGGGTTTCTTCAAAAAATACCCGCCATGCCATAATGTACTTCTGCCTACCCCTTCGGGGATAAAAGGCGTGATGGTATGTTGTTGTATGTATTTCATAACTGTTTGCTTTAGGGTTTATTGTTTGTACGTAGTTTTCATCCTACCACACTCCTTCCAGATCCTTCCTACCTCGTGCCACCCTTGACTTCTTTCCCTTTCATTGAATTGGCTTGAAGTTGTAATACTCGTAAAAGTAAAAAGTGGAGAGGAAGTCATAACCATACTTTCCAAAAGACAACTCTATAGACACTCGTTACACACTTACAAGCTTTCTTATACAGGGCTATTTGTTATTAGAACATATCTTATATGTAAAGAAATAGCCGGAAATGAATAATTATTAAATTAGTTAACTTTTGGTGTTAATTTCATAATGCCACGACGATGCGGCATCTTTAAAACTGAAAAATCAAAAAAAGAAACGCATTGACATAATTTGTTTTCTTCGATTTACGCGTTAGATTAGGTAATGATATATATTTTAAATTTAAACATTCTAAGGGAATTGATAAACATTCGAGTAAAAAGTGTGGGGTTTCTATAGAAGTAAACTTGTAATTTAAACTTTATAATTTCTGCAACCTTGCTCCATTGTTTGTCTTATATCTTTGACATTTGTCCAGGTATGTTGAAGTTGTATATTTACTATATAATAATAAGTCGGGTTCTCCTTCCTGTCGCTATAACTCCAGAACGCACATGAACGGCAACTGATTGCGCGCAACGTGTCGCGGATTCGATTCCCGCACGGAACAACTCTTTGTGTGATCCACAGATTGTTGTTCCGGGTCTGGGTGTCTTGTGTATGTGAACTTGTATGTTTGTAAACGCACCCACGACACAGGAGATAATCCTAGAGTGGAGCAACGTTTAAAAAAAATTAGATTCCACTGACAAATGGTGAAGGAAAACATCGTGAGGAAACCTGGGATTATAATTTCCAATTGGTTTGAAATAGCCAACCCACATTGAGCAAGCGTGGTGATTAATGCTCAAACCTTCTCCTTGTGAGAAAAGACTTTCCTCAGCAGTGGGCATTTATAGGCTGTTGATGATGATGATATTCGATCATTAGAATTGGAACTAGTTTTTTTTGGGATAAGCCGGTATACGAGCACACAGATCACCGATGGTAAGCAATCTGCAATCGGCGTCGCCCATGGACACCTGGAATACCGTTACAAGTGCGTTATCGGCGTTTTCG